AAGGTCTCCCCTCAGCCTTCTCTTCTCCAGACTAAAGAGTCCCAGCTCTCTCAGTCTCTCCTCATCAGGGAGATGCTCCAATCCTTGAATCATCTTTGTTGCCCTTCGCTGGACCCTCTCCAGCAGTTCCCTGTCCCTCTTGAACTGGGGAGCCCAGAACTGGAGGCAGGATTCCAGTTGTGGCCTCCCCAGTGCAGAGCAGAGGGGGACAATGACCTCCCTTGACCTGGTGGCCACACTCTTCCCTACGCAGCCCAGGATTCCGTTGGCCTCTTGGCCACAAGAGCACACTGGTTGCTCATTGTCATCTTGTTGTCCACCAGGACCCCTAGATCTTTCTCTTAAGAAGTTGCCTCCAGCAGGTCCACCCCTAACCTGTACTGGTGCCTGACGTTCTTCTTCCCCAGGTGCTTGCCCTTCGCTGGACTCTTTGGGGGTTTGAATGTCTCCAGAGAAGGAGACTCCCCCACCTCTCTGGGCAGCCTCTGCCAGGGCTCTGCCACCCCCACAGGGAAGAAGTTCCTCCTCATGTTGAGGTGGAACTACTTAGAGTCAAGTTTGTGCCCATTCCCTCTTGTCCTGTCCCTGGGCACCACTGGAAAAAGCCTGGCCCCATCCTCCTGACACCCACCCTTGAAGTTTTTAGAGGTGTTGATCAGATCCCCCCTCAGCCTTCTCTTCTCCAGACTAAAAAGCCCCAAGTCCCTCAGCCTTTCCTCATGAGAGAGATGCTCCAGGCTCCTCATCATCCTCACAGCCTCTGCTGTCCCCTCTCCAGCAGTTCCCTGTCCTTCTGGAACTGGGGAGCCCACAACTGGTCCCAGTGCTCCAGCTGGGGCCTCCCCAGGGCAGAGCAGAGGGGCAGGATGACCTCCCTCCAGGTTCTCCATCTTCTTCCTGATGCCCCCCAGGAGAGACCATTGGCCTCCTCTGGTGGGAGGTGTCCCTGGATGGAATTGGGGGAGGTGGAACCAAATGGTCTTCAAGTTCCCTTCCCCCCCAAACCCTTCTGTGATTCAGAGACAGTTACAGTCCCACTACGAAAACACCATCTCAGTGTTTAGTAACGGTGGAGGAAAAACCCACAGATATTGGGCATTACTAGAAAAAGAATAAGGAGCAAACCAGAAGATATTTTTGTTGCCGTCTAAGTCCTGTCTTTGACCACTTTTTTTCCTCCTCTTGAAAACTAGAAATGGAAAGGTTCAAAAGAGTCTGGTTCCCTCCTCCTTCAACCCAATGGTATCTGGGGTTGCACAGGGAAGAGTGTGGCCACCAGGTCAAGGGAGGTCCTTCTCCCCCTCTGCTCTGCACTGGGGAGGCCACAACTGGAATCCTGCCTCCAGTTCTGGGCTCCCCAGTTCAAGAGGGACAGGGAACTGCTGGAGAGGGTCCAGCGAAGGGCAACAAAGATGATTCAAGGATTGGAGCATCTCCCTGATGAGGAGAGACTGAGAGAGCTGGGGCTCTTTAGTCTGGAGAAGAGAAGGCTGAGGGGAGACCTTCTCAATGCTGGCAAGTATCTCAAGGGAGGGTTGAAGGAGGAGGGAACCAGACTCTTTTCAGTGGTTCCCAGTGAGAGGACGAGGGGCAACGGGCACAAGTTGGACCAGAAGAGGTTCCACTCCAATCTGAGGAGAAACTTCTTCCCAGTGAGGGTGGCAGAGCCCTGGGACAGGTTGTGGAGTCCCCTTCTTTGGAGATCTTCAAGCCCCACCTGGATGCTCCTGAGTAACATGCTCTGACAAGCTCTGGGTGGTCCTGCTTCAGCAGGGGGGTTGGACTAGATGATCTCTAGGGTCCCTTCCAACTCTAAAAATTCAGTGAAATTCAGTGAAAGCCCCCTCCAACCTGGCCTTGAACCCCTCCAGGGATGGGGCAGCCACAGCTTCTCGGGGCAACCTGGGCCAGGGTCTCAACCCACTCACAGCAAATAATTTCTTCCTGGTATCTTACCTAAATCTCCCCTCTTCCAATTTAAAGCCGTTCCCCCTTGTCCTGTCACTGCACTCCCTGACAGAGAGTCCCTCCCCAGCTCTCCTGTAGCCCCTTCAGATATTGGAAGGCTGCTCTAAGGT